CAAGGGGCGTGTCCCATAGTGAGATGACGAAACAAATGTTGAAAGAGACCAACTGTAGGCACACAAAGTAACCACTTAGAGACAGAAACACTCCCTTTCTATGTCAGGCTTTGTTTGTTTGGCAGTTTTAATGCTAGGCAAACACAAATACTAACAATCATTCAGTTTATAAGGAAACAGGTTTGCTCAACTGACAATTCTGTTAGCCTCCCTTTAACAACATCAGTATGTATAAGTGAGTTTTACTGGTGTTACTGTGTACTCTGCTGTTATTATTCATGTTAAGTAAGTGTTTGTTGAGTTTTTTTGCTTTTTTAAATTCTATAAATTGTCTACAGCATTGCTTTGTTTTAGATCTCAGATGTGGAGACTACATAATGCAATCTGTCAATTGAACTCTGAAAGATTGTGCAACACTGACTAATCTCCACAAATATGATCGCACAGTAAATAAAGAATAGGTCGGATATCATCAGCATTACATGGTTACGAGTTAAAAAATTAGGCAAATATTGTGGCCACTTGTGAATGAAACTAAAATTAGGAATCAGTTGTTTTATTTTCTCAGATTGTTCCTAAACTTGTCGTGTGCACTTGGATTCAGTTAGGAAGCCACTGCCAGTCCTGACGAATGTCCTCAGTGAAATTACTGTCTGGTTTCTTTTATTCAGCGTTGGATTGCTATTGTAATTTGCTGCATCACATGGTTCAGTCTTGTTTCATCCACATTTAGAAATAACATGATTTCCTTGAAATATTCTAATATCCTTCCAAAAAGGCTATTTTACATGGACCGAAATGGCCATGATTGTTTTTAGCAACTTCAGAATATTGGACTTCTTTTTAGAATTTGGCCCAATACCTGAGGACTGAGCCACGGCTGTAAGCACACGCTAAGGCAGCATGGGCTTTATACTCATCATCCAACCTCTTACTTCTTAATGGGCTTAGCCAGCCACACACTGATTGTGAATTGAGCTCATGCTTGTTCTGAAACTGCACTCTGATGTTCTTCTTCACACACATAAAAAGCTATTACTATTTTTTAAGAAAAAACACAACAATGCAAGCTGTTGACTCTTGCAAATGGATCAACAGAGGATGCAATATATTGCATCACTGTAAAAGTTCCAAGCATTTTTTCACTTTAAAAAGAAATATTATAGAGTGGCTGAATATAAACCTTTACAAAGAAACAGTGAAGAGTATCAAATGTTAAAGGACTGACATTTGGTGGTGGGCTGGTTGTGAAATGCTTATAATGACATTTACAGTAACCTTTAGTTCTGCCTTTATAAGAGGGATTAAAACCACAGAGACGAAAAAGATGGGGGTATGTTAGGTCTTTCATTAATCAAACTGTGATTGCACTGGGCCACAGCCTGAGGGCAATTTTTCTTCCTCCTTTTTTTTGAAAACGAGGGGTACCAGGGCACCACATATATGAAACGGAAAGCCCTGCAGGGTGGACTCAGTGAGCAGCATTTGTCCTTACAATGAAGCCAGGGTCAGGTCCCTTGACAGAACAGCTTGAGTTGGTTAGCTGGGTGCGGAATACCAGTAGGTTTGTGACCTCTGCAGGGCAGTCATAGCAACTCATTATCAATAATCAAATGCATTTAAACGACATTCTCCCTGTAAGAATAGTTTAATGGAAATTCAGTTTACATTAATGTTTTATCACCACCAAATGCCCCATTATTATGTTTCAGATCTACTTGGCTCAATGATGGTAAAATAAAGCATTTGCAAAACACTAATTATTGAAGACCTGAGAGCAAGTAAAGAATAATTATCGCTGAGGTATTATGCAGTCAAAAGAGTGAAAAATGCTTCTTGCTCTCAGAATTATTTCATGTCGGTCTCATACACTTTCACCTTAAAAAGGTCAGCGAAATATCTCAGCAGCTAATATCCAAAAGCTATCAAAAATCTTCATATTTGAAGTTGAGTGTAAACATGAAGGTAATATTTGTGAAGCTGCGCAAGCAAATGAATGAAACATAAGCGGCTGCTGATAATAATCGGATGACATTTAGCAGCTCCTGCTTTCTCACAGGAGTGGAGGCGGGGTGGGGGCGCGTCAGTTCCTGAGCTTGGGGAGGCACAGTCAAATGTTGGAACATCTGCCCCTAGATAATAAAATGTAAAGGCATTAAAAATAATACTGCTGAATTCTATCACCTGAAAGTTTTTTTCCCCACTTCTCATGTCAAGGACTTTACTGAAAAAACATTTCTTAAGATCCGCTAAAGCTGAGTCAAACAAAAACATCCAGGGTGGATCATTCTCAAATGCAGTTCAGTGGCACTGCTTTACACAACTATTGTAAATGTAGAACTTCATCTTATAAAGATCTTATTAAATCTGACAAGTTGCCAGAGTTAAGCACATTTACTATGGTCTCCACTTTAGCCGGATACATTTGTCGACATAAACTGTAAGAAGAATAGAGATGTATAAATAAAATCACTTTTAAAATGAGGTTTTGCTGCTTTGACCTGTTACCTATAGAGTATGTAAGTACTTATCGGACTCAAATTAATAAGATATCTATACAGTAAACTCAATCCTGATGAAAAAACTGAATCGTACAGTGCTGTCACACAAAGGATTTCAGCAAAACTGCCACAACTGTCGGAGGTCCGTCCCTCTCCACACATCAAGGTGTATGTTTCAGCCCAACCGCCATGCTGCATTTCACTAAAGCAAACTGACTTTAAGTGAGCATAGTTGTTGATTTGCATGTCAGTTGGCCCACCTGCTGTCCCTGCAGCTGGACGGGGCAAAAGCAGTGTTGGATCACTACTCAGTTCCAGCTATAACCTTTCAATGCCACTGTCACATTTAATATAGGTGCATCGGTTCAGTTTGAGGATGTTTACACACTTTTCATGTAGAACACAATGTTCTTCTTTTCTGCTGTTAAACAGAAAGTAAATTAACCATTTTCCTGAACAGCACTGAGCTTACCCACAAGCATTTACACATAAAAAAATACAGGACTCCTCTTTCTATAGAGTCAATATTAACTTTCAGTATTTTACATTTTGCATAGAGATATTTATTTTCTGTAATGCAAGCTGTTATCGAGCAGTTTTTGTTTACAGAATAATTTAGTTTTTAGTTTTGCACCCATTTTTCTTCATGCGTTAAATAACCCTTCAACCTTTCATGGGTTTATAATATTGAGAAGCAGTGGTTTTAAATTCAGCTCCAGACTTCAGTTTTGGAATCATTCACAATTGCCTAAAGAAAAACTAGGTAGAATTTTTAAAAGTTTTAATTGTCTCTGACAAATATGGTCCTTATGAGCTATCTTAGAGAAAGTTTTATTTAAGTCACAACTACACTGTAGTGCATAAAAACACATTCAAATGTCACTTTTGGTAGATCTGGTTTCAAATAATACAACAGTGATACTTCATGTGATGTATGAAACTGTTTCAAAGCAGAGGTTCTGAGGAACCCCTCCACCAACATTTTAACAGCATGTAACCCATTTGCAACGGCCTCATTTACATCACCAGCTGTTTTGTTGCTGGATAAAATGGCCATCCTTGAAAAGGAGAGGAGAGAAAAAAAAGTGTTTGAGTCTACTGGGAGAACAGGACCGTATCTAGATTAGAGGGGAATCCTCTTTAAGGCATTTTGCAGTCATAACAATCTTTCTTGTTCCCTCCTCCCGAGAACATTCCCACTGAGACCACTGCTTTGGCTGGCAGCAAGCTAGATGGGATCTGTTTTGTCCCAATGTATCCACACACACACATTGTGAGACAGACATTTGGATGTCATGGGTATGTCCTAAATAACCATCTCTTAGGGCTCACAGCTTGATTTTAGCCACGGAGGCTTTGCACAGTCACACACATTACCAATTGAATACAAGACCTCAGTGGATGTACAGTACATGAGGACCAGAGTTTCCCTGGTAACAAGCGTTACTTTCACACTGTTGCTGATGGATACAACAATACAGATCTCCATCACTATTCAGTAGATTCATATAGCTTATGGTTTATGTGCACGCACACATGAAGTTACCTGTGCTCACACAAATGACCTGCAAACACACACACCCACAGAAATGGGATAAAGAGTAGAAACTAATGCATACACACAATGTCAGACTCTCTCCTAAAGCTGGTTTTGTGGTGTGTGCGCGGTCTGCCTGAAGCACACACACTCGCACTCTTTTTCGGTGAGTCCTATTAGTCACAGATCACAAACACAAAGTGTAACATTGGCTGCCCCAGTACCCTGATTTCTCAAAGTCACAAGGGAAGTCTGACACACTCTCACACACATGCGCACACAGAAAAAATTACCCACCTGAGGCAACTGCAGCCTGTTCAAAATATACTGAGGAGCCAGAACACGTGAAAAACAAAAGAAAGCAATGGAATAAGACAGCACTGACAGGGCCTGCATCCAGCAGGAGAATATGTGTGTGAAATTCTATTCTATTATATCATCAGATCTTAATTTTCTCTTTTTCAGTTTGAAAATGTGTAGAAACATTACAATTTGTATTTTCATTTAACTTGGTTTTGGATGTCAGTGCAAATCGTAACAACAAAACAAACCAGAAAAGGGGAGCAATTTGTCTCTCAGAACCGAGGGGAAAGAGAGGACAAAAATTTCATTTAGAAATTTTCAGGCTGGTGAACATCATCAGTTAGACCTAGATCTTTACACTTAAACACACACACACACACACACACACGTACAAATGTCTTCAGAGGTCAGTGAAAGAAGTATAAAATACAAACAAACCAAAAAAGCTCTATTGGCACCACTCAGCTCATGCTGACGTTTCCTCAGAAAACTAAAAAAGACTACAGCCCATTATGCTCATCAGGATAAAATGGCATGTATTTAAAGGTGATGGTTCAACAAAATAAGCCATTTCAAGACTTACGTTTTTAAAAAGCTTCATATCCCCATCATCAACTTCCGTTTACATAAACAAAACCTCTCCATAAAAAACCCCTCCCCCCCACTCTTCATTTCAGATCCAATTAGGCAAAGGTAAAGAAACCCGGAAAGCCAAAGGTGTTTGACGATTCGATTGATCCAAGTTTCAGTAAAAGCGCTGATCACAGATCCAAGAAAACAAAGTCACTGTCTGACCTTCACTGAGAAGGACCAACGCAGGGACGGAGCAGCTGCAGACCACTCAAGCTGACCAGTCCAGCAGACCACTACAGCAGACCACTCCAGCACGGTGCTGGTGTGTTTCCTCTGATTACTCAGCGCATGGCAACCCATTCACAGTACAGATAGAAAAATATGCAGTGATAGTATCAACAAGGCTTGATCAGCCAATGCACTGCTATCTAAACACGATGAGGAGTGGCCCTAAAGATGCCTGATCATAAGTGAGGTTTCATAAAGCTTTCATGTGTTTGATGCATGTGACCATTTTCCTGCCAAACAGACCAGGTCTGTTTTGCTTAAGGAAGGACATCTGAACTTTAATATTTCATTCAGACCAGTGTGAGCATCTTCAGTCAAAGAGAGACAGTAAGGCTTTATGTGTGTGTGGTCAAATAAAACCTGATAGACCAAGTTCTAATTTTTAAATTTCAACCTCCATTTATTTCACCAAAATGAAATCAGGGTTAAATCCACTAAACTTAAATAAAATAAAAAATAAGGGACTGAAATTTAAATCAATGTATGAATACAATTTACACATACATCCAGTGCTGTGGAGCAACATGACAGCATTGTGGACATGACGATACTTTCCATATGGAAAACGGGGAAAATTGGTCAAGCCACGGTGCTTTGTTCACCGTCAGGTCTCTGAATCAGCGGCTTGGGTCTGTGTTGTGGTCTGTTCCGTCTTAAAGCTAACAGTAAAAAAATAGAAGGGAGACTTTTGAGAGCCTCCCGGAATCCTCTTTAACACCCCCCTTCCCCGGGCTCACCGTCTGGTCTGCTGCAGCAGACGCGCTTTGCAGAGAAAGGGGCCGATCCCATTATCCCGAGAAACCAAACTGAAACCAAACCGGGTCGTGTGCGCAATGTGGCGGTTGTAGATGTGATTTCGCTTTTCGGGGTAAAAGGTCTATTAGAAATCGCGAGTCCCACTGAGCACGAATTCTACTCTGGCGGGGCGTTGTCTGTTTACGTGTCCGCGCTCTCTCGCGCCTCACGGTTTCTGCAGTTTGATCCCACAGGGCAACTGTGGCTCACCCCGAGACAGAAAAAACCCAACACAACAACCAGTCTCAGACCAACAGGTCCTTATGCATGTATGCGAGTTCGGTGTGAGTGTGTGTGAGTGCGTTTGTGTGTGCGTAAAAGTGTGCGTCTGTGCGCCTCGGCGACGGGAGGCTGAGAGAGAGAGGGGGGGGGGGGGCTGAGAGCATATCAAACGGAATCCCTGATCACTCTTTCCCTCCGTTAACCAAAGACAGCTCTTTGAGAATTCCACTGGCGTCCACTCTCCGCCTCTCCCGGATCATGTCCTCCAGGCTCCGGAACACCAGCGTGTGCACCCCGCTGCCGGACAGGTGCACTTTGAGGAAGTACTGCTGCTCCGCCGAGTGCGCCTCTCCCCCGGCTTTGAACTCTCGTTTCCCAAAGCGGCACCAGGCTGCGAAACTTTCCGAATTAGTCCAGCAGATCTCCTCACTCCTCAGCCCCAGGTGTCCCGCCGCGTTCTGCATCACCAGGTCAGCGGGAAGTGGCCGAAAGCGATACCGGTTGTTGACTATCCTCCCGCGACGACCGCTGCTGATCTCCGGCAGGCTGTCCTTTCGGATCTGGCCCTTGTGCAGGTGGATGACCTGGTCGTCGTGCTCGTAGATGACCCAGTGGGGCGCCTGCGCGCTGCCCACCAGCTCCAGCAGGTCCCCCGGTTTGCACATGGCGAGCAAAGTTTTGACCGAATACGCGTTCAAGTCCTCGTTCTCCCGAAGCTTGGAAAAGATGCATTCCTGGGAGCAGAACGCCGAGTACTCCACCTCGCTGACCGAAAAGGGCCCCTCCTCGGTCGGACTGTGGTCTTTGGTGAAGCCGCAGTCGGACGGAGTGCGGTCGTCCACCTCCTCCTCTTCGTCAGAGAAGAAGTAGGCGACGCCGACCCGAAGCTCGTCCTTCTCCAGCCCGGACGGATCCCCCGTGGGCAGCTCGCTGTAGTTGAGGTGGGTTATCCGATCCAGTTGATTTCCCATCAATGACCTGGCAAGGCAGAGGCATGGACTGCGGTGTCTGGGAGTGAGAGAGAGGCAAGAGTATCGTTACGCGGCTGCACAAACCTTCAAAAAACAACACAATTACGCAGACTGAAACATTTTGAGACTATAATTTATTTTATGAAAACATTCCACAGCAGTCAGATGCACAGAGGGGCAAGACGTTTGTCATAGTATTGAGCTGCAAGTATACAACAACACAATCAATGGTGCACTGCCCCTTGTTCCCCTCACGACGTTTTGTCAATCATTAAATCCAGCGGAATGTAAGGGATTGCCTGAGAATCAGAGATGATAAAAAGTAAAGAGAAGGAGGAAAACAGAGCGGCTCTGGCTGCTGCTGTGTGAAAAGAATTCAGCGTTTCGGATAAAGGCCAGCCTGGTGTCTTTTGGCACAGTTAAATCAATAAAAGCAAACCAAAAAAAAAACAGGATACCTGTGCTCTCCCAGGGCAAATGATTAGATATCCTTGTGGTCCATTAGCACAGAGGGGCTACACAGTCCTCTGCTCCCCTTTCTGTTGTTCTTTTCTCTTTCTTCTCTCACTTCTCCCTGTGCGTACACGCCGCGCACCGGGCGCTCCAGCTGTCTTGCAGATTCGTTCTTGACTCTCCACAGGACCAGCTCTTTTTAACCACGAGCGGAGCTCCACCTCGTCCCGGCCGCTCCGCCTTCGGCGTGTTTAACTGGACCACCGTAACGGGTCCATTACCGCCCAGCCAATGGGAACCGTCCGGGAACACGCCAGTCACCCGGACGGTCCAATGGGCGTGCGCGGTGGGCGGTGAGGACTGTTACCGTGGCATGGCTCTCCTGTTGTCAGCGGTGGAATTCTCCACATGAACAGCAGAGTCCTGACAGAGGACTTAAGGCTCCTCCGGTTCCCTGTTCTGGCGGGCTGAGGCCTTAAACATTCCTTTTCCATCTGGCCGCACGCCTGGAGACTGCACCGTGGTCACATGAGGACGTGACAAACGCGTCCTGTCTCCACCAGCCTCTCCCCACGTGGAGCTGCTAAATCATTTATACACCGCCGTTACTATGCAAGGCTCTCACTCACGTCTGTCAGCTGCGTGTGTGCCTGCTGGAGGTGGGGGGTGTGATCGAGTCAGATGTGTGTGCGAATTTAAGAAAATAAGACAACAAAGCCCTTCAAAGCCAGATTAAAATCAAGTCAGTTCTGATGCACCGATGTACTGCAGTGTCTGAGCAGAATACCTGAAATGAAGTGCATATCAAATTCAAACTCGGGACTCTCTCAGCATGCATAATTTATTGTATACTTATTATGCTTACAAGATGAGTGTGAGTACATTTATGCCATGTCCACTCAGCAGTAAAGTCCCTCTCTCCGCCACTGCTGCCCACGACTGATCGCCACATTTCCATGTATAGAGGACCCCTCCTTTTGGAGGTCATGTTTTTCTGCTTAGAGCTCTACGCGGGGAATCTGCTCATCTTTGTTTTTCCCCGTTTCCCTCTCTCTCTCTCTTTTTCTGGCAGCATCTGGAAGGCTGTGGAGAGTCGCTCCCTTTTCCCTCTCCCGTACGGCTGGAGATAGCGGTGCAGCGGCTGCTGGCAGGGAGCTGTTTCTGATCTGTGTTTCCACCAGTGACAGTCAGAGCGAAAGGGGGAGCTTTCCCCTCTAAGTGAGATATGATTGTCCTTATTCACACATCAACCAGCGCGCAGACATTCACACTGCAGCTTTTGTGCCTCCTCAATGTATTTACACTTCCATCTGATTGTAGGAGTGTGTGTATCTGATTGATTTCCTTTTAGTCCAGCGAGGCTGGACTAAAAGGAAGGCTCGTGTAATTCATTTATGATGTATGCTTTGTGTGCAACCATGTACTTTAACTCCTGGAGAATGTGAGAGCAACACACAAGGTGATAAATAAGGTTTTTTTCATGAGCAGTTCACGAGGCCTCCCTTCACACACTCACACAGTGTTTCATGGGACCACCGGTAATGGCTTTGGCTCCAGCCCTTGCTGCATGTGGTCCTGCCACCTGTAATCTGCGAGGAGCAGAAATGTGTCTCCTTTGTAGACGCCCTCTTCCCTTGACACGCATGTTTGTTCTCTGTCTTCAGGCTTTCTTCATTATGTCGCTTCTACCCCCTGTAAGCACCCAAATACAAACTTTTTTTCGACACACACGCCTAATCACATATGCAGCTTGTGTAATAATAAGGCAGGTTGCAGACAGTAGTGGAATAGCTACGGAGACTGGGTGATATTTCACAACCCCAATAATTGGATACGTCTCTATTCCCTAATTACTAACTAAATCATACACGCTACAGAGCAATTCAGTGCAGATAGCCCATTATCGCACACATATGCACACACACTCGGCTGTCCACAAATTTATTCCCGAATGGATTCAAACATTGCTGTTCCTGTGTGACTCATGTATCTATTTGAGTTGATTTGCATGTGCAATTGGAGATGTGTCTCTTGCCCATACGGCCAACATCAAAACCTCAAACCTACTGTACGTTTGCACAACTTTACATAAACATATGCAGACTATATTTTTCTGAACGGTCATACTGGGAGAAATTTGAACATGCTGAGAAAATAGAGCCTAACATCTAGTAATCGTAAACACATGAGGACCAGAAGGTATTTGTGCACATGTAGAACTGCTTTGATGTGCTGTAGAATGCAATAGGGAGGATAGAAATTCTGCTCTACATATGTACTTCTTTTATTTTAGAGCTGCTGCTTGCGCACATGCACGTATAGACACATAAACAAAACTTGTGCCAATTCTTTGAAGAACTGCATCATCTACGCTGTATATCTCTGAGAGAGTTGGAGGCATTTTGAGGATTTTTACGGCCTAAATCATGCTGCCATTAAAAATAAGTTTCCTCTCAGATTTCTAGCTTTACCAAAAACACCTAAGTCATAGAAAATACAATGTAAGCTCTTTTTCGAGATACTTATGGATCCCCAGAGGAAAAATAATCCTTTCCCTTGTATCTTTCTAGTGAGGTCAAAGAGTGCAAAGAGCAGGGTCAGCGGCAGAAGAGTGTCAGGTAGAAATATTAGCTGTGAGGATTTCATAGCTGTTGGAGGCAATTACTCAGTGTACGAAGCAATTCTTTTGTGATCTATACGGTGAAGATCCAAACATAACATTGTCAGCAAAAGCGTTAGACCATGTACCTCCAAAGGCTGCAAGTGCATCAAAAACAACTTTGCCATTACCCGTGTGACACAGGCCCTCATGTAAATGCACATAATATGGATCATTGTAATTAGATTTATACTCTGTCAAAGTTAGAATTCAAGGAGACAAAAATCAATCAATAGATTTAATTAAAAGATTTAGGTTGTTCTGGGGTTTTAGATGTCATGGAATTATAAAGAGTTTTGCAGAAATGCAAAAAAAAAAATACACTTTTTGATTTATTGCAAAACACATAGGATCCCACTTACAGTATGGAAATACTATATAAAACATTTATAATCTCTAGCATATCCTTTGTGACTTCATGTGTGTAGGTGTTACAGACAGTAGCCACTATCTTATCATCATAAATTGGCTCGTAGAGAGGACTTATGAGGAGTGTCAAGCCTCAAGTAAAACATTGTCTTTTTCAAAGTGCAAAGGGCTGCAATGGCTCTCATTCTTTTCGAATAGTATAAATAAGCAAAAATCAACAACAAATAATTGCAGCAACTTTCAAAAATGAACATCCCACATTTGTACATGTATTTAATCTCTTCATTTCACTGCAACGATCTTTTCTGTTTTTTTTTATTCTGTTCTTTACAGATTTCAGAGTGGAGCAGGTGCCTTGTACAGAGGAACAGACCACTAGATTATGCCTCGACATAGTCACCTGATGGCTAGATTTATGTGGACAGGGTTCAGCTAAGAATAAAAAATAAGCACAGGCGACTAGGCGGTTTGAAACGGTTTAAGAAACGTGTATGAAATGGATTCAGATGCATGCAAACCGAAATGCTCCAGGCCACGTTAGACTGGAACATTCACCCTGTGGTAGCTGCTGTGTTCATTGAAGGGAAGTTTACATTAAAAGCCAATGTGCATTTCCTGGTTTTCATGTTTTTTCATCATGCTTCACTGTGATACTGCAGGGCAGGGCAATGTTTGTACTTCACAAATTTGACCCAAAGACTTCCATTAGGAATGAATTAAAACCTTTTGAAAACCATTTGAAATAATCTTTTTCATTTCCAGTTGTTTAACTTTTATGATTCATAATGAATTTTCGAAGAATCAAACTTTGTTGATTGGCTGTAGATGCTGTTAGCTGAAATGCAGAAGCAGGACCACACCTCAACACCCCACAACCTTTCATATATCTATAAAAGCCCACCTGCACTGCACACCTGCTCGGTCTCGCTGCGCTTCTCCCTTCACTTGTTTTTCCTCTGCTATCTTATAATTTGTGTTCTGCAAGCCGAGAAGCAGCTGCTGACCTCACGGAAGCCTTCCCCACACTGCAGCAAGTGGCCTAGCTTCTCATCAACATCATGCATGAAACACATTTAACAAATAACTCTGCACATCCCTTGTGGTGTGGTCCTTGCTCATGCTTTAAGAGACTATTATGTTGCAGAGTGGCAATAATGAGTAAAAAAATAATGACTCGATCTCATCAGTCGTGGCATTACCTTCTGCTCTGCCTTCGCATGAGGGATTTGTGCCCCTGTCTGAGGTGGGACGGATTTTGGTGGAAACTCTATATATATGCTCATGTGCTCAGCATGAATCTTGTGACATGGAGCTGCTATTTTAGTTTTGTTGTTTGTTGGGTTTCTTACTTTACCCAAAATCGTTCTCGTTGTGTTCTTGACTTGTTTGTCATTTTAGTTAAAAATACCTGCAAGTGAATTTTAGCTAAGAACAGTTTTGCTTTTACAGAAATACATTTGTATCTTTCTGTCTTTTCTTTTTTTCTTTATAATGTGGCTTTATTTTAAATAGCAGAAAATGTTGAAAATCGACCCAAATTTAAGCATAAATAAGCAGATAAATGAAATTCCTGCAGGAAATTAAATAGGGTTTGGCATGACGGCCAGGCATCCTTTTATCCAAATAACTGAGATAGAGGATGTTGCTGCAAATAAAAAAGCCAATGGTTTGGTTCTTCTTCTGGAAAAACCATGTCCATGTTACCTTAAGTTAATGTTTTAAAACATTTTAGATTGAGCTGAAATGTGGTGTAGAGTAAAAACTGTTGGGGTTTGGTTCACATCCATAAAGTCACATATGGCAGCAATCTGTCCCAAGACATCTTGCTATTCAGGAAGAGAACAATTTTGGAATAGTTTGGTCACAAAATGTTCCTTTTGCCAATTTGAAAGATTGAATTGGCTTAAATGTTTCTGTGAAACAGCAGTTCCAGAAATCCCCCTCAATGATTCTCTAAAGCAAGCCAGGGCTCCCATTGTAATACAAAGCCACTTCATTTGTTGTACTGAGGCTAGTTTGGTGTAATAAAGTCCACCTAAAAATGTATCCGTCATATTTCATTTTCAGGTTGTTCCATTCATTTTCACATTCATTTTCAATTGAGCAGAATGTGAAGTTGACTTAAAAAAGTGGTCC